GCACGAACTGGCTACTCCGGGATCTGCGGGCCCGGCCGACGGGGGCGGACCGCGTGGGGGGGACCACAGGCAGCGTCCGGGCCCCCTCCCGCCCTCTCCCCTCCCCCTCCCGCCGCGGAGCGGCCGCGGGAATAACGCGAGAGTCGCCCCTCCCCCCCGCAGTAAAACTGTCAAAGGTGTGAGGGCGGGAGCGCGCATGTGCGCAGCGCGGCGCGCAGCCTGTGCGCCCGGACCCACCGCCCGCGCCCCGCGCCCCCACCCCGGCCCGGCCCGGCCCGGCCGCAGCCCGCTGGGCGCCGCAGGTAAGCGCCGCCGCGCCCGCCCCGTTGGCCGCAGCCCCGCGCCACCACCGCGCCCCGGATCTCGACCCCGCGCGCAGGCCGAGGAGGGGGCCGGGCCCGGAGCCCCCCCGCCCCCCGCCGCGCCCGAGCCCCCGCGCCCCGCGCCGGCGCCGTCTTCCTGCCTCCTCCTTCTCCAGAAAAAGTCGCCATTTTGGTTCACTGCCTTCGCCCCCCCACCCCGCGCCCGCGATCGGCCCTGCCCGGCCAGGCCGAGGCCCGCGCCCCGCGCCCGCGCCCGCTCCCGGCCCCAGGTGACAGGTGGGTGGCGAGGCTGGCCCCAGGTGCGCGTCGCTGGCCGCGCTCACCCGCGCGCCAGGCCTGGGCCGGGGTCCCGGGCCGAACGGCCTACGCGGCGGACCCGCTGCTGGCGTCTCCTGCGCGCAGCGCGGCGGAGCCCCCTCTCCACGCCAGGGCTCGGTGTGCCCGCTGGGCTCGGGAGGGCCGAAGCCCCTTCTCGCCCGGGGCGCCAGTCGCGTCTCTACCTCCCAGGCCGGCCCTGGCTTCAGGTCCCACTACTCTGAATTCTTCTCCCAGGCTTCAGAAAAATTGGGGCCACCGGGGTCGTCAGGTGCTGGGATGACTCATGCGGACCCTGTCTCCTTTCAAAGTTGCAAAGTGAGGACTTCCAGAGAACTTTGTGCCCGGACACTGGCCACCCCCTTGGCAATGGGCAGTGACTGTCCTGACCTCTGACCTCAGCTCTCTGGCCCTCCTGGACACAGCAGCCCCTTCCCATCCCCTCTGATCTAAGTTAATTAGAAGGTATCAGGAGGGGGCCACCTGCCCACCCAACGCTCACCCTGCTTCCTGTCCCACCTCTTTCCGTGGCTTTTCCACAGGGCTGAGCCCAGAGTCTCCTCTGCTCCCCAGCTCTCAGGATGGGGTTCCCAGCAGCACAGGACCTCGGGGGGGCCCAGCGTTGGGCAGCAGGGCGTTCTCTCTGGCCAGCAGCCTGGGCCTTCACTGCTAGTGCTTCCACTACTTGTTTGGCTGAGGTGGTGGTGATGGGTCTGTGGGCAGGGGACTGAGAGGTTCCAGAGAGAGATTGGGGGCGGGTCAGCCTGCCAGGCCCGCAGACAAGTCTGTGAAGAGGGTCAGGTGGGATAGCTCAGCCAGCACAGAGACAGGAGCCTGGTGCAGGGCTGGAGTGGGCTGGGGGTCCTCAGTGCCCACCTTGGCTGTTTTCCGTCTGTGTCTGGAGAGAAGATTCCAAGGGTACCTGCCTGGGTAGGTTGGCATTGCATCAGGTCTGCATGGGAAGGTACCAGGGCCCCAGTGAGAAGCTGTGCCCCCACTGCTGGGCCCGGGCAGCTTGTGAGCCAGCAGCCATCATCGGAGACATAATTGTCCCCTGGAGGAATGTTGCCAGCCTCCTTCCTCCTGCACAAGGCACCTCTCCCGGGGGCACACCCCTCCCAGCATCACCTCCAGCATCATCTCCGCAGCTATGGGGCTGTGTGTTGGGAAGGGGATCTGGAAGCTGGTGAGGGTCTCAGGACAGGACTAGATCCTTCCAAACTGATGACGCCTCCTGGGTTATCTGGGGAGACCTTGGCTGGCAGCCCCTCCCCTAAGTCAGAACCCCCCATCACTTGCTTTTCCCACGTGAACAAAACCACAGGAGGGCAGGCCCCTCTTCCCTGACCAGCGAGGACCTGCCAAGGGCGAGGCTCCAGGGCAGCCTCACCATATGTTCTGAGTGGGGCCCGTCAGGCCTCACAGATTGTCTACTTGCTCTGCAGAGATGACGGATCCTTTCTGCGTTGGAGGCCGTCGGCCCCCGGGGTCCAGCAAGGGTCCCGGGAAGGATGGCAGTCGAAAGGAGGTCCGACTTCCAATGCTGCATGATCCACCGAAGATGGGTAAGAGGAGTCAGGGCCAAAGTCAATTCTGGGCATGGTTCTGGGCAGCAAGGGGTAGGAGTGAGCCACGTCCCCGGGCATCCTGTCTCCAGGTACCCAGCTAGGCCCCTTGAGTTCCCAAGGACCTTACCAGGGGAAGGGTTGCCTTGGACATCGCCCAGGGCCCTGGGTTCTTGTCCTCAGCTGGCCACAGCCCCTGCCCCTGGTGCCCTGGTGTTGGGACAGTGGCGCTCACTGTGGGCCTGTGCAGCCCCCAGTGGTAGACAGTGCCACACAGCTTCCGAGCCTTGCTGTGTTATGTGCTGCAGGGATGCCGGTGGTCCGTGGTGGACAGACAGTGCCTGGCCAAGCCCCTCTCTGCTTTGACCCAGGAAGTCCAGCCAGTGACAAGACAGAAGGGAAGAAAAAGGGGCGGCCAAAAGCCGAGAACCAGGCCCTCCGAGACATTCCTGTGAGCTCCCTCAGGGCCATGGTGGGGCTCATGCTGGGGTCTCCCTGTCCAGCCATTGCCCTGCCCTGATTTGTCCTCTGCACATCTGGTACCAACTCTGTGCCTCAAGATGTGGGCACTGGCCTGGCAGGCTTCATGTGGTCTGGCTTTATATCTGGTGTGCCGGGAGATTCTGGGCTCCTAGAGCAGGTCTTGTGCATGGCCCCTGCCGGGTGGCTTGAATTCCCACTGCAGTCCGATGTTGAGGGGCTCATGTGGTGTGTGCACCCTGCAGGCCCAGGGAGGGCTCTGAGTCTGGGGCTCGGGCTGGCAGTGGCCCGGGTGGCTGCGGGTCAGCAGCACCACCTTTCCCCACACCTAGCTCTCCCTGATGAACGACTGGAAGGATGAGTTCAAGGCACACTCGAGGGTGAAGTGTCCAAACTCGGGGTGCTGGCTGGAGTTCCCCAGCATCTACGGGCTCAAGTACCATTACCAGCGGTGCCAAGGGGTAAGGGACTGTGGGTCAGGGAAGAGGAGGCCTTGGGGTGTGTCTGGGCAGAGGCCCTTGGGGCCCTGTCCCACACCCGCCCTCCCTGCCCAGGGTGCCATCTCAGATCGGCTCGCCTTCCCCTGCCCCTTCTGCGAGGCTGCATTCACCTCTAAGACCCAGCTGGAGAAACACCGGATTTGGAACCACATGGACCGACCTCTGCCTGCCTCCAAGCCTGGGCCCATCAGCAGGCCGGTCACCATCAGCCGGCCCGTTGGGGTCAGCAAGCCCATTGGAGTGAGCAAACCTGTCACTATTGGCAAACCTGTGGGTGTCAGCAAACCCATTGGCATCAGCAAGCCAGTCTCTGTTGGCAGACCCATGCCAGTCACCAAGGCCATGCCAGTCACTAGGCCCGTGCCAGTCACCAAACCTGTCACAGTCAGCAGGCCCATGCCAGTCACCAAGGCCATGCCGGTCACTAGGCCTGTGCCAGTCACCAAACCTGTCACAGTCAGCAGGCCCATGCCAGTCACCAAGGCCATGCCGGTCACTAGGCCTGTGCCAGTCACCAAACCCATCACAGTCACCAAGTCTGTGCCAGTCACCAAACCTGTACCTGTCACCAAACCCATTACGGTCACAAAACTTGTGACAGTTACGAAACCCGTGCCGGTCACCAAGCCAGTGACAGTCAGCAGGCCCATCGTGGTCAGCAAGCCGGTGACAGTCAGCAGGCCCATTGCCATCAGCAGACACACACCGCCCTGCAAAATGGTGCTGCTGACCAAGTCGGAAAACAAAGCACCTCGTGCCACAGGGAGGAACAGTGGTAAGAAAAGGTATGGGGCTCGTTCCAGGCCGGGGTGCTCCTCGGCCATGGCCTGGGGGTAATGGGGCCCAAAGTCAGGCCCTCCTGGCCCTCACCTCACCTGCTCCCTGCAGGGCTGCGGACGGCCTGGACACCTGCCCAATTCCACCCAAGCAGGCCAGGCCAGAGAATGGGGAGTACGGCCCCTCCACCATGGGCCAGAGCTCGGCCTTCCAGCTGAGTGCAGACGCCAGCAGTGGCTCCTTGTCACCAGGCAGCAGGCCGTCGGGGGGCGTGGAGGCACTGAGGGCTGCAGGCCCTGCGTCCCCACCTGAGGAGGACCCCGAGCGCACGAAGCACAGTAAGACGAGAGCCCCAGGGGTGGCGGCCGGCGCAGGCTCGGCTCCTGACGGTTATTTGACCAGAATCTTGGCCCCCGTTTTCTCTCCCCGAGTCAGGAAGGAAACAGAAAACACCCAAGAAGTTTACAGGGGAGCAGCCATCCATCTCAGGGACCTTTGGGCTCAAAGGTAAGACCCCAGCCCGGTGTGCACTTCCAGGGCTGGGGCTGTCCACTGAGCGGCAGCCCCTGAGCCCACCCCTGCCTCTCTCCACCCGATGTGTGCACACAGGCCTGGTCAAAGCTGAGGACAAGGCCCGAGTTCACCGCTCCAAGAAGCAGGAGGGGCCAGGCCCTGAGGATGCCCGGAAGAAGGTGCCAGCCCCCATCACTGTCAGCAAGGAGGCACCAGCCCCCATGGCCCACCCAGCTCCAGGTAGGGGCTGCCTGGCAGGGGCTCAGGGCAGCTCTAGACCACGGGTAGATCCCACAGCACAGGGATGGGGGCTGAGTGTGGAGGCTGGATTCTGTGCCTGGTGTCCAGGCCACCCAGGGGTCCCCACAAGCCTTCGAGGCCCCTGCCTTCCCCACAGGTGGCCCTGAAGAGCAGTGGCAGAGGGCCATCCACGAGCGCGGGGAAGCCGTGTGCCCCACCTGCAACGTGGTCACCCGGAAGACGCTCGTGGGGCTCAAGAAGCACATGGAGGTGTGTCAGAAGGTAAGGCAGCTCCCGGAAGGCGCTGGGAGGGAGGTGCCCTGGCCCCAGGCAGGCTTCTCACACGTGCGCCATCTGCAGCTTCAGGATGCACTCAAGTGCCAGCACTGCCGGAAGCAGTTCAAGTCCAAAGCTGGCCTCAACTACCACACCATGGCCGAGCACAGTGCCAAGGTACCGTCGGGCCCCCAGCGCCTGTCCAGTGTGACCTCTGACCTCACACCCCACCTTCACCACAGCTCCCCCAGTTTCTAGCCTCGGATGACGGTGGCCCAACACCTGGGTGGGGCAGGGCCAGGGCAGGGACCTGTGGTGGTGGTGGTGGGTCACCGACGTTCACCCTGTCCCCAGCCCTCTGATGCCGAGGCCTCTGAGGGGGGTGAGCAGGAGGAGCGCGAGCGGCTGCGCAAGGTGCTGAAGCAGATGGGACGGCTACGCTGCCCCCAGGAGGTCAGTGGGGGCCGCGGCAGTGTGGGGTGGGGGGGCCCTGCTGGCCACTCACCCACCCTCTGGCCTGACCCCCAGGGTTGCGGGGCTGCCTTCTCCAGCCTCATGGGCTACCAGTACCACCAGCGGCGCTGTGGGAAGCCACCCTGCGAGGTGGACAGCCCCTCCTTCCCCTGCACCCACTGTGGCAAGACATACCGATCCAAGGCCGGCCACGACTACCACGTGCGCTCGGAGCACACGGCCCCTGTGAGTGGCTCTCTGTTCTGTGGCATCCGTTCCGTGGCACCATGCTTGCTCCTGTTTGCCGTGTGTGTTCCGTGTGCCTCGGGTACCAACCGTATTTGTCCATGTGCCGCCTAACGCGTGTGTTTCCCACCCCTCTCTGTGAGAGGCGCGTGTCCTGGTAGGCGGGAGGGTGAAACCTCCCTGTTCCCTCGGGTTGCCTGCGTCAGCCGTGTCCCCAGCACACTACAAGGCCTGTGGGTCCACCGGCCTTGGGGTGGCCTCACTGCGCGCCGACCTGCCTCTTGCTCCTGCGGCTCACTCTAGCCTCCATGCCTTCCTGCCCTTCAGCCCCCTGAGGAGCCCACAGACAAGTCCCCCGAGGCTGAGGACCTGCTGGGTGTGGAGCGGACCCCAAGCGGGCGTGTCCGCCGCACGTCGGCCCAGGTGGCGGTGTTCCACCTGCAGGAGATAGCAGAGGACGAGCTGGCCCGCGACTGGACCAAGCGGCGCATGAAGGATGACCTCGTGCCCGAGACCGCACGGGTGAGCTGCCCACCCAGTATTGTGGACAGCGCTGTGGCCTCTGGGCGGGACATGCCTTGGCCTGAGCCTTGGGACAGCCGCCCCGTGACCTGGGCCACCCGTTGCCATCTGTGGCGAGTGTTGCCTGCCGCCAAGGCGAGTGTTCTTAGAGCAGCTGGGGTGTCTCCTGGCCTCGGGCTCACCCTGGTGCTGTTGAATTCACAGCTCAACTACACTCGGCCAGGGCTCCCCACGCTGAACCCCCAGCTGCTAGAGGCATGGAAGAATGAAGTGAAGGAGAAAGGCCACGTCAACTGTCCCAATGATGTGAGCAGAGGCCGCTGGGTGGGGGCGTGGGGACCCACACAGGGACAGAGCCCAGGTGTGGCCCTCAGAGCAGGAGTGGAGGCTGAGAGCTTTCAGGAGGTGCCCAGCCCACCCCAGGCCTTGCATGCCCAGCCTGCCCGATTCCCAGGACTCACACCCCCTCACTTGCCCCAAAGAGGCCTCAGAGATCCCCTGGGGTAGGGCAGGGGTGTATCTTGGTGTGGGGTGCCCACCAGAGGCCCTCGCCCACGGCTGCCTCCCCTGCAGTGCTGTGAAGCCATCTACTCCAGTGTGTCCGGACTCAAGGCTCATCTTGCCAGCTGCAGCAAGGTCAGTTCTGGGGCCCACCCCATGGCCAAGTGCTGCACTCAGAGATCCCAGCTCACCCCACCTGGGCCTCCCACAAAATAGTGTGGGACCCTGCCCTGCCCCCCACTTTTTCTATGTGGCCTCCTCTTCCACGAACCCAGAGACTGGCTGGTGGCTGATGGCCAGCCTAGGACACCTCCCTCACCCCTAACCCCAGCCACAAGCCAATGAGTCCTAGTCCTGTCCTCGGAGTTCTGTGTCCATGTAGGCATGAGTGGGCACCCCGACCCAGGCAGATGGCACACTGGCTTAGAATAAGGGATGCTTAGCAAAGGTCTGCAACTCTTCCCCTGGGCACCTGCCTCTCCCTACCCTTCCTCTCCCCACCACCCCTGCAGCCCCGGCAACCCAGTCACCCCCAGCACTGTCCAGCACAGATAGCCACAGCTTTCCTTTGGCCACCCCTGACTTTGACCCTTTAGCCACGAGTAAGGGCTTAGGACAGATCTGGGTCCTCCAAGGGCTGAGGCACTGGCCTGCCTGTGCATTGCAGGGGGCCCACCTGGCGGGGAAGTACCACTGCCTGCTGTGTCCGAAGGAGTTCAGCTCTGAGAGTGGCGTCAAATACCACATCCTCAAGACCCACGCAGAGGTGCAAGGGCCATCACTAGGGCCTGTGGCTGGGGGCTAGCCCAGGAGGGGACGGGGCTGGGGTTGGGCACCCCTTGTGGGTGGAGAGATCAGTGGCCCATGGAGTGTGCCTGGGAGAGCAGCCAATGTGGAGAAATCTGGTAGTTTCTCCTCAAAGTCGGGTCTGGCTTCCCTGGGAGAACTGGGAGGCTTGCACCCTGAGCTGGAGCTGCCCTGAGGGTGTCCGCCTGTCCAGCCCCCAGCAGCCTTGCCGTGGGTGCTTGCCTAGTCCTGAAGGCAGACAGGTCTTCAGCTCTCAGGCTACACCTGGCTCAGGTGCTCAGCATCCAGTCCTAGGTCTTCATCAGCGCTTTTCTCTCCCCAGAACTGGTTCCGAACATCAGCAGACCCACCTCCCAAACACAGGAGCCAGGACTCATTGGTGCCCAAGAAGGAAAAGAAAAAAAATCTGGCAGGTGGGAAGAAGCGGGGCCGAAAACCCAAGGAGCGGCCCCCAGAGGAGCCTGTGGCCAAGCTGCCCCCACGCCGGGACGACTGGCCTCTAGGATGCAAAGACAAGGGGGCCCGGGGCTCCACTGGCCGGAAGGTGGGAGCCAGCAAGGCGCCTGAAAAGTGAGCTTGGTGGGTGGGGCCTGGCCCCCATGCAGCTGCCACACCGCCCTCTGTTCAAGGCAGGGCTAGCTCCGGGACCTCTGTCCTCCAGTTCTCCATCCCCCACCCCCACCTCTTCATCTGTCCAGTGGGGGCAGCCAGCCACGCTCCCTTCCCTGAAGGTGGCCCTTCCCCTGTTAAGGCTGCCACAGGGCACACCTGGGTTGGGGCTCCCCAAGGTGTGTCCAGCAGAAGTGCAATAGCCGGGAGGGTTGCCCCTCCCCATGGGAATGTGTCTGGGGTCTTGGTGCCACAGGGGCTGCAGTGCAGAGCAGGCAGATGGCCTTTGGCCTCCGGGCTCTGCTTCCTCAGGCCCTGCCGGGTCCCCACCCTGGCTCCCTCAAGGCTCAGGCATCCCTGGTGACCTGTGGTTCTGGGCTGGTGAGGGCACCTGAGCGACTGGCAGCCGGCAGCCACCATCCTGGCCTCACCTCCACCCAACACTGGAACTCCAGCACCCCCAGCTACCTCCCAGGACAGACCCCCGTCTGACCACTGCCATGCTGACCCTGACCCGACAGGCTCCTGCCTGCCCTTGGCCACCCACTTGGTCCCCCTGCTTCTGTTTTCTACCTCTCCAGGGCTGCCCCCTACCCCACCCCTGCCGCTCCTCTGTCAGTGTGATCCCTGCTGTGCTCAGGCCCTGCCCCACAGGCCTGTCTGTGCTCCCAGCTTGGGGTAAGGGAGGGTTTTGCTTCTTGCACCTACAGGGCAGCAGGAGCTTGATGCCCTTCAACACAGCTGCCAGCCCTGGGGGTGTGGGGCCCCTAGAGTATGCTCTCCCTCCAGTGTTCAGCCTTCTGGCACTGCAGGCCTAGGTTGGAGCAGGCTCATGGAGTAGGGATGGACTAGTTTGAGCTCTGGGGTCTTCCTGGGGCCCACGGGCATGTGGGGCAGGAAGCTGGGCAGAGCTGGCCTGGCTCTGAGTGGCCACTGGGGGAAAGGCAGCCTTCTGTCTGCCAATCTGGGTAGGCCCAGTGGCCGAGCTCTCATGGGAGCCCCCTCCCCACTTTTTTTTAACCGGCCCCCATTGTTTCTGGTCGTGTGGACTGATATGGGAACTGAAGGCCAGCCAGGGGAGGGGTCGGCCAAAGTCACGCAGGCTGATGGCAGCTCCAGAGCTGTCTTTGCCCCCTTTGTGCCCCGGGGGACGGCTGGGTCTACAGGCTGGGCAGGGGTCAGGCAGGGAGTCCAGGGTGCCTGGAAGAGGGGGCCACAGCCTGTGGCTGCCTCCCTGGGGTCCTGCCTTCCAACCACGGCGTTGCAGGGAGGACGAGGCTCCGAGGGGGCAGCTTTGGAGGGAGGCCGTTTTCCAGGGTGGGTGGGAGTGGGCTGAGGGCTCATCCCCACTGACCCTGGACGATGTGAATTTTGATGTTTGCCCGTGTGCGTGTGTCTCCTGGGTGTAGTGGATGCCAGTCTTGTTGCTGTGACAAGTAACAACCTTTTTTTTAAATTGTTTTTTATACAAAAACTCACAATCTGACATTTGGTGCTAAGGGTTTCCTGGTGCAGATGGTGGGCCTGGGGGTTGGGCTGGGCCAGGGCGTGGGTCTCTGGGGTTTGGGTCCCTTGCTGCTCGGGGAGGCAGTACTGACTGGGCACTGCCTCTGCCCCCAGCACCCACCCTCACCCATCCCCCAGGGAGAAGGGTCCCCACTGGGCTCAGCCTGCAGTAGTAGGGAGACAAGTTCCAGGAGCACTTTGGGGACTGGGGTTGCAGTACACTTCCTGTCTCTGGCTTTATCCTTGGGCCAGAAGGCTCTGACCCTCAGCAGCCCTTGCCAGATGTGCTAGGGAGGGGGTGTGGAGACCTGGACGCCCCCACCCATGCACACCTCGGCCTGATGAGAGGATGGAGGCTTGGGCAGAGATGGGCGTGACCCAGCGTCAGAGGGCCCGGGGAGGCTCTCCTTCCTGTGTCCCAGAGCTTCACTGGTGCAGCCGGTGGGGCTGGAGGTGGAGGGTGGGGTCTGACAGCTTCTACTGGGGCAGCCTCGGGAGGGGAGGGGAGCAGGCACTGGGCAGGGGCCTAGGTGCACTTTGTCCTTGCCACCAATGGCGGGAGGAGGGTGGACCTGAACACCTCTGCAGGGTGTCGTGCGCCTGCCCCAGCCTCTCAGGTACTTGGCCCTTGGGGAGGAGAGAAGAGGGTCTGGTTTTTGCTGGGGGTGAGTTTCTGGGACACTCCCAAAGCCCACAGATAATCCCTGGTGTGGGAAGAGGAGTCCTGGATACCTTGATGCTTAGCACTTTAACCCCCTTTGTCTTTAAGGTAGGCGTGGGGGCTACTGTCAGAAGTGGCTGTTGGGTCTGACCCCTCCTTTCTTCCCTCCCTCTCCCACATGCTGGTCTGCAGAGCACTCCTCCCAAGGGGTAGGGCCCTGGGTGGAGCTCAGCAGGGTCTGCCCACTCCCTACGCTGGCCCACATAGGCCTCCAGGAGCCCTCAGTGAGAGGGACCAGCATAGCAGACCCCCAGAGTGTGGTGGGCGCCGACCCTGCCCGGGACCCAGTCGGGGCCCTTTCTGCAGCTCTACCTCTGGCTCAGCGCACGCCCCCTGCCCTGAGAACAGGAAATGGCCCGGAAAGGCTGACTCAGCGGGCCGACACTCACGAAAATGGGATGCACTTTATTTGCTGGTGCAAAGGCAGGTGAGGGTGCCTCCTGTGTGACCGTTGACCCTCCTGCCTGGTGGCCCTGAAGGGAAGGAGCCAGTGAGCCTGACCCCGGGAGGGGCCGCCCCCGCGCGCCCTGTTTGGCGGGCCCCAGGCGGCTCCCCCAGACCGGGGTCTGGGGCCCCAGGTTCTCCCCTGCCTCGCGGCCGCGCGTCCTGTGCTTTGGGTTTCTTGGTTTGGGTTTTTTAATGCCAGTTCTCAGTACATAAGTGCATTTTGAAAGAGGTTCCAGCTATCACTTGTAACCATATATATATACATATATATTCTATCTACAAAGTGTTTATTTGCGAGATGTTTCGACGGTGAGTTCGGGCTCCGCCCGCCTTGTGACCATCTGTCCCCGGTCCTCGTCCCCGCCCCGCGCCCTGGTCCTGAGTGGCGTGCGGACGGGCCATCACTGTATGTATTAAAATGACTGTATCAAATAAATGTTTATTGATTTTTTTCCAGGGTTTTTGTGCGACTGAGTTTGTGGTGAAACGCAGGGGGCGGGGCCCTCCGGGCACGTGGTGGCGGCGGTAGAACTACGGGTCCCGCGTGCCCTCCGCGCGGCCTTGTGGGGCTCGTAGTCCGGGACGCGCGGCCTTGTGGGGCTCGTAGTCCGGGACGCGCGGCCTTGTGGGGCTCGTAGTCCGCGACGCGCGGCCTTGTGGGGCTCGTAGTCCGCGGTGGGCGGGAGAGGGAACCACCAGCTCCCGGCGGCCCACGCGCGCCGCCCGGCCCAGCCCGGCCCGCGGAGAGGCCTCCGAGCGCAATGGCTGCGCCCCCGGCCTGCGCGGACGCCGACCCTTCGCCCACGTCGCCACCTACGGCCCGAGACCCGCCAGGCCGGCAGGCTGAGAAAAGCGAGACCGCGTGCGAGGACCGGTAGGCGTGGGCGCCGCCTCCACTTCACTGGCGAGCAGGAAACGGGCCGCAGCCCTGGCCGAGGTGGGAGGGTGGTCAGTGCTCGCCGCGAGCCCAACTCCCCCACTCCCGGAGGCCAGGCGGCGGCGCCCCGTTCTCCCACGTGCCGGGCGGAACCCTGCGGGCTTGAAGCGGCCGGGAGGACAGACCTGACCCAAGACAGCAGGCTTCTCGGGGCCCGGGGAAGGAGCCCGGGTGCACACCCCCAGCGTTGACCTTGGTCTCTGCCGCCAGTGGGTGGGGCCCTCGGCCTTGAGCACCCAGCGGGCCGTGTGCCTGCTCGACTGTGCGAGTTGCTCAGTGTTGTCGGCTCGGGGTGTGACCCGGCCCGACCCGCGAGGCCAGGGGTCGGGATTTGGGGGTGCGGCGGCGCACGGTGCCTTCTGATTGCCCCTCACGCGCGGGGCACCTTGGAGGCTCTGCTGGGGCTTTGCAAGAGCATGAGGTGGGGAAGTTGCGGGGGTGCAGCGGGAGGAGCCACCCCACCCGAGCCCTGCGCGGCGCCTTTGCGGCCGTGGCCGTCAGGGGGCGGTGGCCACGCAGTGCCCGGGGCTGCAGGAGGGCGCTCTGGGCGCTGCCCCTCCCTTCCCGTCTGAAGTGTCCCTTGGGGAGCCGAGGGGTCCCCGTGGAAGGGACTGTTCCTACTCAGGCGCCTCTTGCCTGGGTTCAGGCTGTGACTCTGGTCAGAAACGCTGTGAGCCAGGACTTCCTCAGAGATGGGCTGCGCAGGGGGCCGCCGGGGGAAGGGTGTCCCGGCACAGGGTCGCTCTTCTCCAGGAGCTGCTGGGCGGAAAGAACTTTCCCGTGGTCCTGTGTCCTTTCAGTCCATACCCTCCCAGTGGGCAGTGACTGGGAGCTTTGCATGGCTAGAGTCTAATAGGACCTGAGTCTGTGCTCCGTTGATTCCAAAGAGGCTTTGCTTTGTTTGTTTGTTTTGTTTTGAGACGGAGTCTCACTCTGTCGCCCAGGCTGGAGTGCAGGGGCTGGATCTCGGCTCCCTGCAACCCCCCCTCCCGGGTTCAAGCAATTCTTCTGCCTCAGCCTCCCAAGTAGCTGGAATTACAGGTGTGCGCCACCACGCCCGGCTAATTTTTTTGTATTTTTAGTAGACAGGTATTTTGTCATGTTGTCCAGGCTGGTCTCGAACTCCTGACTTCAAGTGATCTGCCTGCCTCAGCCTCCGTGGGATTACAGGCATGAACCACCGTGCCCGGCCACCAAAGAGGCTTTGATTTAACCCAAGGTGGGGCAGGCCAACGCTAGACAAGCACTGAGGGCTCTTGATAAAGGCACTCCCAGATAACACAGGTTGGTGGCAGCAGCCATCTGGGCCTGCCCTGTGCACAGACAGTGTGGGCTGGGCACAGTGGCCCTCGCGGTGTCTGAGGAGGCAGAGACTGCTGTTATCTTTGTTTGGTGTGGTTATCAAGGGACAGGAGGGAAGCTGCAGGCAGTGAGGATAGATTGCGGCACCCTTCTCCAGCGGCCCCGGTCTGCCCTGGAACTGCCTCTTGTCTTAGGCAAATTTCTTGCACTTTGTGTCTTGATGCTTGTACCATTGCGAACTTCCTCTGCCCCAGCCTAGGGCTTTTCTCACTGTTTCCCGAGTGTGTCCCCCAGCGTTCCTGCGTCTGCCCCTCTTCAACCTCTGGTGCTGCCCTTGGTGTTCCAGAGCAGGCTCTAGCTTGGAGGTCTGTGCACAGGTGGAGGTCTGTCCCCAGGGCTGGGGCTCCTCCAGCACCATTCCAGTTCCTCCTGCCGCGTCATCCCAGCAGTCAGTCTGTCCGTCTCGCCTGTTGTTTACTGTCTGCTTGTCACTCGTGACTCTGTCCCGGGCACCTGCCCCAGAGCTGGCCCATGCTGGTGCAGGAACAGGTCCTTTGTGGTGTTAGCAGTGACTCCTGGCTGCGGTTGAGATGGAGTCTGGAGCTGTGGAAGTGGGGAGCAGAGGGAGGCTGCCCATGACCTGTGCAGAGCAGGTCCTGCTGAGGGAAGGTTTCCAGAGTAGTGGCGTGGGCCAGTGCAAGTCCCCAACCCCCCAGTGCCCCTCCCGCCTGAGAAAGCTGCCCTAATGACTCTCCCAGAGTCAGTCCGGCACAGGGGTCAGGTCAGCGTTGGCTCCTGTGGGCTAACTCCTCCCTGCTCCCTCCTCCCTCCAGCCTCTTTTTAGTTATCCCGCAAACTTCCCTTAAACCTGACCTGTCGGCCAGGCACGGTGGCTCAAGCCTGTAATCCCAGCACTTTGGGAGGCCGAGACGGGCGGATCACGAGGTCAGGAGATCGAGACCATCCTGGCTAACACGGTGAAACCCCGTCTCTACTAAAAAAAATACAAAAAACTAGCTGGGCGAGGTGGCGGGTGCCTGTAGTCGCAGCTACTCGGGAGGCTGAGGCAGGAGAATGGGGTAAACCCGGGAGGTGGAGCTTGCAGTGAGCTGAGATCCGGCCACTGCACTCCAGCCTGGGTGACAGAGCGAGACTCCGTCCAAAAAACAAAAAACAAACAAAAAAAGCCTGACCTGTCAGGAGGCGCCGTGCTTCAGGCACCCAACAGGAAGGTCCGTGGGCAATGGTGACCCCAGGGGTGGTAGAACAGGCCTGAACCACAGCAAGGGAGTACCTGAGCCTTTCTTTCTCCCTCTGTGCTCTCTCTTGCGGCTGTTTCCTTGGCATTGGTTTCCATGCCCCACGCTCCCTGCTGCTGGATGTTTGCTTCTAGTTTCCTTCACATTGTGGATAGTTGGTGAGGGGCAGCCCTGCCTCCAGTCTCCACACATGCCTGGGCTTCTTTCCTTCTTTCTTTCCTTTCTTTTTTGGAGACGGAGTCCCAGGCTGGAGTGCAGTGGTGCAATCTTGGCTCACAGCAACCTCTGCCTCCCGGGTTCAAGCGATTCTCCTGCCTCAGCCTCCTGAGTAGCTGGGATTACAGGTATGTGCCACCGTGCCCAGCTAATTTTTGTATTTTTAGTAGAGACCTGGTTTCTCCATGTTGGTCAGGCTGGTCTTGAACTCCCTACCTCAGGTGATCCACCCGCCTTGGCCTCCCAAAGTGCTGGGATTCCAGGCATGAGCCCCGCGCCTGGCCGCCTGTGCTTGTTTCTTTACGATGACGACACTCATGGGGCCCTTACCACTGATGAGGCGTCTGCCTTGGTCTTTGTGAGCTGGTGCTGGGATTCCAGGCGTGAGCCCTGCGCCCGGCTGCCTGTGCTTGTTTCTTTACGATGACGACACTTATCACCGATGAGGCGTCTGCCTTGGTCTTTGTGAGCCGGCCCACCTGTAATGCACCTGCTGTTGTCCTTGGGGAGGAAACTGAGGCAAGCCATGGCTCCGTGGAGGGGTCTGAGCCACACTCGACTGTGCTGTGGCCCAGAGTAGGATGGCTGAAGGTGAGGGAGGGGCAAGAGGTGCCCAGAAGTGGCTAAGGCAGCCTCCAGCACCACTGGCCTCAGCCTCACCTGCAAGGAGGAAACCTTAGGCAGAAGGTACACTGGGCAGTGCTTACCCCAACTCAGTGTCAGCACCTGTGGGTGGCGTGGGAATGGGAGTTCTCCGGACCGGCCCAGCTCAGCAAGTCAGAACCTGGGAGGAACACCAGTGAATGGGACCAGGGCAGGCCACCCCTCCCTGCTGGGAGCGGCTCCTTCCTGCCGTGAGCTGCTGTGGCCGAGAGCAGCCTCCTGGAGGGGCATGTTGGGGACCACGTGGTCTGCAGCGAGGCAGCGTGATTCCAGGGTGGGGCCTGGTGGTTCCATTCACAGCTGCGTACCTGGGCTCGTGCGTCCCTGGCCTGGCCAGCATAGTGTTGGCTTCCACGGGTCTCTTGGCCAGCTGGGGCAACCAGAGCATGCCCATGCCAGGTAGATCAGCCTGAGTCCACTCTGCTGTTCAGACAGCCCAGCCAGTGACACGGCTCCCAGGAGCCCAGGCTCCGTGCCCCCGCTCAGGACAGCCTCTGCCTCCCCGACCCTGGGCTGTCTCCTGCCCACTTCCCAGATGAGGGGTGTAGCCGCCTCCGGGGAGCAGAATGAGGAGAGGAAGCACCTGTGGACACAGACAGATGGGCCAGTCCTGCCTCTGAGGCAGCTCCCAGGAGTGGCCTACTTTTCAGGAGTATGACCTCCATGTGGAGTCTTCCCTTTTCCCTGAGCTCCTGGCAGCCCCTGCCTCAGTACTAGAAGCTCCAAGAGAAACCCGTGGTAGGAGGAAGCTGACTCTCATGGTGACCTGTCCGCCCCGGGAGAGCTTAGGGCTGCCAGGACCTCTCTGTGCACATCCTTGACAAACTGCTGAGGGTGGGGCGGAACCCCGGTTTCTGTGGGCTCTCGGAGAGGTGACTGTGTCCGCTGTGCTCTGCTGAGCCCTGGGTGGTTGCAGGTCCCTGCAGGATCCCCCGTGAGTGGGGGCAGGGCAGGGCAGTTATTTTCAGATGGTGCCAGGGGGTGGAGTTTCAGATTTGTTTATGCCTGTCGGAAGCACTTTGGGGCTAGGAATGGGGTGCCCAGCTCAGCACTGACGTTCGGGACATCTGGCCAAGAGGCGCCTCAGATTTCCCTGTCCTGCTGTGGGGGGTTCACTCTGTAGCCCCAGGCAGGCCAGGGGACTGTAGCTTTTTCCAGGGGATCCAGGAGGGGTGCAGGCACATGGCGCAGGGTGGTCCTCCGCAAGCCTGCGGCCCTAGGCTGGCCGAATGTGCCAGCGCACACACAGGAGGGGGCAGTTCACACCAAGGGCTGGCTCGAGGATTGTCAGGGCCACACCAGGCAAAGCCAGCGCTATTAATATCAGGCACACACAAGCCCCCAGCTGGGTGATCCTCTTATGCCTGTGGCCTTGGCCTCTGAGGACGGCAGTGAGTGCTGTGCCCTCAGTACGGTAGGGGCTCCAAGGGCCTCCTAGCTGCTGAGTCTCTGCTGACACTTGGCAGGCAGCTTCTACCAGCCGAGGGTCTCACCCCCAGCCCCCGGCTCTGCACCCACTGTGCTGCCCATAGGAGTAGTCCTGCCCATGGACGGGCAGTTCAGGTGGCCGGAGCTCCTGAGCTGCCTTAGGGGACTACTGTGGGTCTGAGGTGGTGATGCCCCCGACGGCTGCCTGCGCCTGAGCCCCCACGCATCCACCCCTGGGGCCACTCGCTGTTCAGGAGCACCCACCCGTGTCCTCGACCATGAGCAGCCCCCCATCTTACCCTGGCATCAGGATCTCAGGGTGCCGGGCCCTTGGAGCAGAAGGCGGGTGAGTCTCGGCCGGAGGTCGCTGCGGCGAGGGGCGCCCACTTGTGCTGTGGTCCTGGCCACTCAGGCCTGTGTTTGGTGCACGTCTGTGGGGATCAGGAATCAAACAGGCTGGCAGGTGCTCTCGGGCACCGGGCAGAGCCCAGGGTCGAAGGCGCAGTTAGTTCTGCTCGGGGCCGTTGGTCTGGGCACGTCTCTTCTTGTGCTGGTTACGGCTCGGAACCCTCTGGGCTGGAATTAACCTTTGTAGTTGTGGCCAGAAGCACTCTTGTCCATCTGTTCACGGGAGATGAGGTTTGTTGTGTAACTTTCTCCTCTCTTTTTGTTTATTTTTAATATTCTGAAGTTTTCTTTGTGGAGACGGGGGTCTCACCATGTTGCCCAGGCTGGTCGTGAACTGCTGGCCTCAAGCAGCCCTCCTCCTGCAGTCTCCAAAGGGCTGTACCAGGCATGAGCACCACACCCGGCCAACTTTCCTCTGTCAAGGGGTGCTGCTGGTGAAAAGTGGGGGGACGCTTTGTCCTTGACTCTCAGAGACAGACCAGCTTTGGAGAAGGTAGTGGGGCTGGGCTTGGTGCAGACTCAGCCTGACACCGTCACAGGCCTGCGGTGAGGCGGGTTCCTGGCACATCATCCTGGCCTGCTTCTGACTGTTCCACCGCATGGCACGGCTCCCAGCAGAAGGGCCAGCGCGTGCCTCGGGAGGGATCTGCGGTTACTTCAGCAGGATGAGGAGGAGCCACAAATGGGGGGTTGGGAGGCTCCTGCTGGAGAGGCCTGAGCACCAGGAGACTTCCAGTGGGGAGCTGACACGGTGCCAGCCCAGCCTCCGCCGTCTGGTGTCTGCCCCTCAAGTTCGTCCCAGCTCTGTTGATTAGTGGGCTCACCCTCGGTGTGCAGGGTACGTGGAGGAAGTGCAGGCAGCCGCACGCGCGGTGCTGGGAGCTTTGCTGGGGAGCCTCTGCAAGTCAGATTGTGTCAGAGCTTCCTCTCTGAGGTTGAAGACCGTGGGTGATTCCCGCGGATGCTGGGGTTAGGCGTAGAGGGGAGGGGCCACCTAGATTTCTTCTCTGCCCACCACGGCGTCCATGGCCATCAGAGCGTTTCTATCTGCCCGGCCTAAGCTGGTCTGCCGCACTGTCCCCAGCTGTGGGCATCCGTCACCACCTGCTGGGGGGGTGGCCCCGGGGGTGAGCCTTGCAGGCCCTTGTGTTTCCTGCTGGTGCGTTGGCAGTGTCCGTCCAGGGCCCTGGCGGTCGTGGCTTCTGTTTGCTGGGTCCCATCTTCCTTCTTGACTGACAGCCCTTCAGGCAGGTGGGGTGCAGGTCCCATTCCAGCCACGGCCCCCACACACGGTCTCGGGGCGGTGCCGTGGTACCTGCTCCCCTTTCAGGGCACCGTGCAGTGGCGCTGTCCCCGGGCCCCCTCGCCTGGTTCTCTTGGCGCCTGGCTGTGTTGTTTGTGCTCAGCCCTGCTGCTGACGTCAGCGCTCAGCTCCAGAGCGATCTCCGAGGCCACGGAGGTGAGGCCGATTCTTCCCAGCGCTCACTCCCTGACGGCGACACAGAAACAGGCAGAGGCTGTCTCCGAGGAGGGGCGCAGTGCACTTTCCACGTCAGGCAGACAGCGAGTCTTCTCGCTGCTGTCAGTGTTGCCACACTGTTCTCTGGCCCGTGAGAGCTGCTGAGGTGGCCTGTCACCTGTTGGGCTAGGCTCTCTCCTCCCACTGCCCCCTGTGTGTGTCCACGGACACCGTCCCCCTGGCTGTGGGTGTCACGGGTGCACGGGGAGGAGTGTGCCGCCGGGAACACGAGTGCTCCCATGAGATGCTCAGGTCTTCCCAGAGGCAGGAAGGCCCTTGTCCTGGCCGCGTCCTCAGCCGCCCACCGGCCTGGGGAAGCACCAGGCTTGATGCCGCAGCCAGGCCCTGATGCGTTGGCGGCAGCGGGACGGCCAGTTCCAAGGACAGACTACGGTTTAGTTTATAGTAAAAAAGTGGCCTGTGCTTAAAAAACATTCCAATGGGACAGAAGTTGCTGCTCCAAATCTTGGTGGCCAGGGTGATCATGGTTAGGGCTGGAGTGTACACACGTCTCCCTCCTTCTCACACACACCTCCTCCCTCACACACACACCCCCCCTCCCTCACACACCCCCTCCCTCCCTCTCACACACACACCCTCCCTCTCACACACACCTCCTCCCTCACACACACACCCCCCCTCCCTCTCACACACACCCCCCCACCCACACTCTCCCTCTCACACACACACCCCCTCCCTCTCACACACACACCCTCCCTCTCACACACACCTCCTCCCTCACACACACACCCCCCCTCCCTCTCACACACACACCCCCCACACACACACCCCCTTCCTCTCACACACACACCCTCCCTCACACACCCCCTCCCTCCCTCTCACACACACACCCTCCCTCTCACACACACCTCCTCCCTCACACACACACCCCCCCTCCCTCTCACACACACACCCCCCACACACACAAACCCTCCCTTCCTCACACACCCCCTCCCTCTCACACACACCCCCCCCCACACACACACCCTCTCCCTCTCACACACACACACACCCCCCTCCCCCCCCTTACACCCAGGCACATGCGGGTGAGCGTCCTTCGTTTGCTGGATTTTATACCGATGGAGTCGTATCTCCTTCCAGCTTGCTTTTCTCCCCTGACGATGCTCTCAGGATGCCTTTCCCTCTCCGCACCTGTGTTTCTGTGTCATTTTCAGGCGTAACTTGCATTTGTGGAGTGTTCCATCTCCCTGAACTCCAGAGCGCAGGGGACAGACTGTGCCGCTGCAGGAAGCTACAAAGAGGTGGTTCTGCTGTTTGCAGGACTCTCCCTCTTGTCCCGGGGACTCTGCCCTGCCCAGGACTCTCCCTCTTGTCCCGGGGGCTCTGCCCTGCCCAGGACTCTCCCTCTTGTCCCCGGGGCTCTGCCCTGCCCAGGACTCTCCCTCTTGTCCCCGGGGCTCTGCCCTGCCCAGGACTCTCCCTCTTGTCCCCGGGGCTCTGCCCTGCCCAGGACTTTCCCTCTTGTCCCAGGCAGTGACTGTGGTTCTGAGTTGCTCCCCATGTGGGTGGGCCATGACCTGCAGGGCCAAGGTGCTGACCCCTGAGAGCTTCCCAGGCAGGCCTGAAACATGATGCTGAGGCCACCATGGCCAACGTGGTCTCTTCTGCTGGACCCGTGTCTTGTCTCCTGGCATCTTCACACCAGGCTCTGCATCCGAGCCTCTCAGAACAGACTGAGCAGGTGCCACGTTGTCCCCCACCCCAGCAGGGCACTGGGCCACACTGAGCCTCCCCAGAGGCTGCCTCTCCCAGGGCTCCATGGCCAGTCACGGCCCCTGCCCGCCTGAGGATGTCAACTGACAAGTTGGCAGGCGCCTGAGTGCTGGTCTGGCATGTGCAGTGCATGTAGATGCCACCCAGCATAGGTCTGTGTCTTCCTCCTGTTGATTTCCCCCTTGCAGCCTTTAGGGGCTCCCCGTTCCCCTGGGCAGGCTCATGCTCACCTCCCAGGCAGCCTGCAGCATTTCCTCTCTAGTGTTCGCCAGATACCGGAGGTTTCTATCTTGGGGACCCAGGAGGGGCCACAGCAAGAATGAATGGGGTTCCCATAAGGCTCCCAGCCCAGGGTCCCCCATCTGGCACTCCGACAGCCAGAGAGGCCAGGCCGTGGCACCACCCTGTGCAGGGCTGCTGTCACTGCAGGAGGATCAGGCCCTGGCTGAGCCCTCTGGCCTCTCTCCCTGAGCCCTTCAGCCTGGTCATGTCTGGGGACCTCACCCTGGCTGTGTGCGCACAACCTGGTCTGGCCTCGCCTCCACCAACGTGCTGCCCTCACATCTCCTTGGGCACCCAGCCTTCAGCATGGCAGTGATTTGGCTGCCCAGAGAGTGTGCTGGGTTGGAAGGGAACATGGTCCACTTTGGGGTCTTGCCTGCCTTTCACATGCCCACCTTGAGTCCCCTTGGGGACAGGGCCTGGCCCAGCCAGTGCCCGTCCACACAGCAGGATGAGCATGGCCCCAAGGTAGTGTCTCTCCTCCTTCCCTTGTCCTTGTTTGCTGTCCCTCTGTCCTTGCTGTGTGGACAGTGATGGTCTGCCCTGTGCCAGGCTAAGCACTTGGGTCTGTGTCCTGTGGCCCAGCTGCAAGCAGGCTTCTTTTTTTTTTTTTTTGAAGTGGAGTCTTGCTCTGTCATCCAGACTGGAGTGCAGTGCAGTGGCATGATCTCAGCTCTTTGCAACCTCTGCCTCCCGGGTTCAGGCAATTCTCCTGCTTCAGCCTCCCTAGTAGCTGGGATTACAGGCGCCTGCCACCGCACCCAGGTAATTTTTTTTTTTTTTTTTAATTTTTAGAAGAGACGGGGTTTCACCATGTTGGCCAGGCTGGTCTCAAACTCCTGACCTCAAATGATCCACCTGCCTTGGCCTCCCAAAGTGCTGGGATTACAGGCGTGAGCCACCACGCCCAGCCCAGGCAGAGTTCTTATGTACCCCCAATGAGCCTGCCCACCTCAGCCATGCCTGTGGAGGGGGTGGGGAGATGCCCTGTGGGCCAGCCATGCCAGCGGGTACCTGGGGGGTGGGCAGCCCTGGGCCAAATCCGAGCACGCCCCTGTCTGCAGCAGCAATGCAGAGTCCCTGGACAGGCTCCTGCCACCCGTGGGCACCGGGCACTCTCCCCGGAAGCGGACCACCAGCCAGTGCAAGTCAGAGCCTCCCCTGCTGCGCACCAGCAAGCGCACCATCTACACCGCAGGGCGGCCGCCCTGGTACAACGAGCACGGCACGCAGTCCAAGGAGGCCTTCGCCATCGGTGAGAGCCGCGGGAGCGGGGGGCCTGCTGCCGGACGCCTGCCTCCGGCTCCCCTCCAGTGCTTTCCACTGGAGCAGGAGAAGGAAGCCGGGCAACTGCAGGCAGTGGCAGTGGGGTGGGTACCTCCGGGACTGATCTGCGTGGGCAGCCCGTCTGTTCCTCATAGAGGGTCTCCGTTCGCCCCGGCAGGCCTGGGAGGTGGCAGTGCCTCTGGGAAGACCACTGTTGCCAGAATGATCATTGAAGCCCTGGACGTGCCCTGGGTGGTCTTGCTGTCCATGGACTCCTTCTACAAGGTGGGCCCCCGCCCAGCTCCCCCAAGGACCCCCTTGTCCTCTCCCTGACCCTGGAACCCCTGCACATGCAAGTCTCTGGTATCTGAGCCCCAGCGTGGCCACTCCTGGGAGGCCTAGAGCCCCTGCCCACTGGCATTGGGTGAGGGCCCTGCTGTGCCTGCAACTGCTCCACAGCCTCCCCCACCAGGTGCTGACCGAGCAGCAGCAGGAACAGGCCGCACACAACAACTTCAACTTCGACCACCCGGACGCCTTTGACTTCGACCTCATCATTTCCACCCTCAAGAAACTGAAGCAGGGGAAGAGTGTCAAGGTGCCCGTCTATGACTTCACCACGCACAGCCGGAAGAGGGACTGGGTAGGCTGGGGGCCTGCAGAGGGGGCCTCGGGGGGCCGCAGGCACATGAGCCGGGCTCCACAACTCCTGGGTCTCTTCACAGAAAACACTGTATGGTGCAAACGTCATCATCTTTGAGGGCATCATGGCCTTTGCTGACAAGACACTGCTGGAGGTTAGCACTCACCGGGAATGCCCACCCCACTGGTGTCTCAGCCCTGGCCACCCTGTCCATGAGGTGTGTGTCCTCCTGCCCCGTCCCCAAGGCGTCCACACCCTATAGGCCTAGGCCAGCCACTCCCTACCCCAACCCCAACCCCAGGCAGGCTACGGCTGGGTCCATCTGCTGGCCCTGCAAGGCAGAGCTGGGGCAGTGGTTCCTTCTCCACCGGCTGAGGCCTGTGCTCATACCTGGCATGTTCTTGGCGTTCTCGTCCCTTGCTGTGGTCCTGACGGACAGGTGAGGACCCGGGGCTGGTGTGTTTGAGAGACTGTGCTGTAGGTCACAGGAGCCTTCAGGACAGAGCTGAGTGTGACTCAGGTTGGCCTGATCCCAGGGCCCAGGTCCTGGCCCTGGCACAGGCCCAGAGGACCCCACTGTCCAGCACATAGCCACCCCCAGCCTCCACAAGGCCTCTTCAGGGGCCAACTGTGGTGTGCTGAGCATGTGGATAGACCCTAAACTCGCCATGCCCCCCGTTCCCCAGTGTGTTGGTGCGAGTTTCCTCAAGCAAAGTAAAGGAGATCACGTATGCCCAGCCCCATTCCTGCCTGAGTCCTTCGCCAGCCACCATGCCACGCCTCTTCACCTAAGCCCCTGATGGGCAGCACCCCACCCCAGACACCCCCACCTCCACACTCCTCCCACCTGCCAGGGTGACCTGGGGAAGTGGCTCTGGCCAGGCCCACAGACCAGGCGGCTTCACTGCAGGGGCTGGTCCCAGTGTCTCCATGCCGGCTGCTGGCATCCAGCCGCTCACTGGCCCACTGTCTCCACCAGCTCCTGGACATGAAGATCTTTGTGGACACAGACTCTGACATCCGCCTGGTACGGCGGCTGCGCCGGGACATCAGTGAGCGCGGCCGGGACATCGAGGGTGTCATCAAGCAGTACAACAAGTTTGTCAAGCCCTCCTTCGACCAGTACATCCAGCCCACCATGCGCCTGGCAGACATCGTGGTGCCCAGAGGTGAGCCTGCTGGGCTGCCTGTTGGGTGGGTGTCAGGCAGGCCAATGGCCCCGCCCCCAGTCACCCTCCCCCATCCCGCCCCAGGGAGCGGCAACACGGTGGCCATCGACCTGATCGTGCAGCACGTGCACAGCCAGCTGGAGGAGGTGAGTGGCCCTCAGCCCAGCAGGGTCCTGTGTCCCCACGGCCTAGCCCAGCCCCACTACCCACTTCTCCACTGCCACCACCCCCAGTGGCCTGCTCCCCTCATCCCCCTGTGCTCACTGTCCCTTGCCAGATGCCAGCCCTGAGTGTCCTGAGCCTGCTTGGTCAGTCGGATCGTCCAGCCCAGACCCCATCCCGTTGTGCCGTGCAGGGCCTGGGTTCCCTGAGGAAGCTGGGGTGGGGGTACAGGTGCTCAGGACCCAGCCGAGGGTGCAGCCTGCTCAGCACACCCAGCCTGAGCTTTTGGGAATGACAGGCATGACCTGCTGGCCCAGGACTGGGGGGTTTCACTGCTGAGTGCCACGCCAGGCCAGGCTCCTCTCTTTCTCAGGGGGTCACCCCAGGAGCGACACCCCTACCAGAGGTCCCGTGCTCCCTGAGGCATTCTATGGCTGGGCCCTGGAGCCTGGGCTGGCTCTGAACACACTCCGTAACAGGATGTTGAAGGCCTGAGGCCTGCAGAACAGAGCCCAGGGTCCTGGCTCTTGCCCCAACCCAGAACTGCAGGTCTGGCCCAGGTGGTCCCCAGGTTAGAAGCATTAGAAGCTTGCCACCCCCATGACTGGCTGTGTCCCTGCGGGCCTGCAGCATGTCCATTCCTGGGTGGGGGTGGCCTGGCCGCCTGCCCTGGTCACTGACGCGCCACCGTTCCCTTGTGTCTTCCTGTGTTGCTGCCACAGCGTGAACTCAGCGTCAGGTAAGACTTGCACAGCTGTCTGCACAGATGGAGGCATTTCCAACACTCCCAAGGAGCGCTCGGTCTGGGCTGTGATCCAGCCAGGCAGGCAGCCGGCTCTTCCCAGTCACAGAAGGGGAGGTGTGGAGTGGTCCCAGCCCTGCTTCTGCCTCCCCTTGCTGGCAGATGAGGACACTGAGGCACAGAGACGTGACGTAGCTTGCCCAGGGTCATGGGGTCCTGACCCTGTCCTGGCCAGACTTTGCTGGAGGCTCCCCTGACCCCTGAGTCTGTCTATGGGATTTGACCCCAGAGAGCACAGCTGTCCTCCTGAGGCAGCACTGCCAGGCCCCTGGGGCAGTGACTACAGACATGTCCCAGCAGCCAGGGAGCCTGTTGTGCCTCCTATGCCCAGCCTCACGGACCAGTCAGCTTTCCCTGGTTGCAGGTGGGAGGGCCTCGCCCCTGTCCTCCCACCCACCTGGGTCCTGCTTGCCCCAGCTCTGTCCTCGCAGCCCACACAGCTCTGCCAGCAGGAACTGGGCAACTGCAGCAAGAAGCTTGGGCTGGGCCGGGGCCGTATCTCACTGCCCCTCCCCAAGGGCAGGCGTGCGGGGGGACAGCCACGAGGGACCTGCCCTTCTCCCCGCCTTCTGTGGGTTGGGAGGCTCCTGACTGAACCACCTGGTGGGAGAGCCCTTGTGTTCAGAGCACTCCAAAGAGTTTGCCAAATGCTGGAAATGCCTCCAGGGCCCGTCCACCAGCCGTCCACCTCCTGTGCCTGCATGAGTCTCTGCTTGGCCCTCTCCACGGCCAGGGAACCCGCAGGTCTTGTCCCATCAGGTTCCTCCTGAAGCTTTTGTTCTGAGAAAAAAAAAAAATTTCCAGGGTTTCAAACTTGAGAAAACACCTGAACACAGCCAGACGCATTTTCCATCGTCTGGTCAGCTGAGAAAGTGTTGGCCTGTGGCTCCACTCACTTCCATCAGCCCCAGAAAGCCTTGGTGGGGGCAGGAGGGAGGGCCAGGCAGGGCTGAGGACCTGGCCGCCCACACTCCTCCTCAGGCCTGCGGGGAACGCCCTGCTCCCCAACTAAGCAGCCTTCTCTTTGTTCTCTTCCTTCTCTTGTAAACCCCCGTTTCCTGCCCTGTTCCCTCCCTGAACATGCTCTTCACCTGGCAAGCAGAGGAAGCTACGTTGGGATATGTGAGCAGAGTGCTCTGTGGTGCTGCTGTGTGCCCCGCCTTCCTGTAGCCCCTTGTCCCTGCTCCTGCCCCGCCCCTTTCCCTGCCAGTCACGCCTCTTTTCTGCCCTGCCACACGCCATTCCCGGCCCTGCCTCTCCCTGCCCGTGTCACGCCCCTTTCCTGCCACCCGCCATTCCCGGCCCTGCCTCTCCCTGCCCGTGTCACGCCCCTTTCCCGCTCCTGCCACACCCCATTCCTGGCCCTGCCTCTCCCTGCCCGTGTCATGCCTCTTTTCTGCCCCTGCCATACCTCTTCCCTACCCCGCCCCTTTCCCGCTTCTGCCCCGCCACGCCCAATTCCGTGCCCCCCCACCCACTTTCCTCTTCCTGCCCCTGCCCCATTCCCTGCCCCTGCCCCATTCCCTGCCCTTGCCCCGCCCCTTTTCCGCTCTGCCCCCTCCCTGTCCCACCTCTTTCTTGCCTCCGTCCCGCCCTTTTCCTGCCTGCTCCTAGACCTGCTCCTGCCTCTGCCCTCCCCAGGCTTGGGCAGCGGAGCGGGGCAGCCAAGCGGCACTGAGCCAGCTTTGCCCCTCGCCCCCACCTCGAGGGGCCACGCACCACTTCGGGGAGGAGCCAGGGCGGGGCCTGACCCCACAGAGCTTTAGTTGTTCCCCCAGGGAGAGGCTGGGGACAACCCACCCATTCTGGGGTCTGAGACCTGTGAGCCTGCCCTGTGCCTGGCCCACTTCTGCTTCCTCTTAGCCCAGGAGGGGTCCCGCGCTGGGAGGGGCCCTCACACCCTACCCCCAGCTTTCTGCCTGATGGTGAGCTTGCCCCGCTGTTCGCCACCATCTTTCGCCTTTGCCTGGCAGCTCAGCCCCAGGCAGAAGTCAGGCCCGCTCCACCTCCTGCTGTGCCTGGCCCATGTGTTCCCCCCACAGTGATGTGCACGGCCGTCCTGTGGGGAGGGAGGGCTCTGGGAGAAGACCCCCTTCTTGAGTGTTCCCCATCGGTTTGTCCCCAGGGCTGCGCTGGCCTCGGCACACCAGTGCCACCCGCTGCCCCAGACGCTGAGCGTTCTGAAGAGCACGCCGCAGGTGCGAGGCATGCACACCATCATCAGGTAGGACCCACCTGGGGACGGAGGCCTCGCGCGCGCTCCCGCTCCGCGCGCGCTCCCGCTCAACTTTCGGCCCCGCAGGGACAAGGAGACCAGTCGCGACGAGTTCATCTTCTACTCCAAGAGACTGATGCGGCTGCTCATCGAGCACGCGCTCTCCTTCCTACCCTTTCAGGTTTGTAGCCCGCGAGCTGGAGGGTGCGTCCCGGAGCCGGCGCGGACTCCCTGCGCTCACCGAGTCCTCACCTTTCACCCCACAGGACTGCGTTGTGCGGACCCCGCAGGGGCAGGATTACGCGGGCAAGTGCTATGCGGGGAAGCAGGTACCTGCCTGGGCGCACTTGGGCGCGGGACGGGCTGCTGGGGCGGGATGTGGGTGCTTAGCCTCCCCTCCCCGCAGATCACAGGTGTGTCCATCCTGCGTGCCGGTGAAACCATGGAGCCCGCCCTGCGCGCTGTGTGCAAAGACGTGCGCATCGGCACCATCCTCATCCAGACCAACCAGCTTACCGGGGAGCCCGAGGTGCGTGGGGGCAGCTGGGGCGATGAGCCCGGGGCTGGGGGCAGAGGGAGCCGCACCTGCAGCCTGACCCGTGCCGCCCGCAGCTGCACTACCTGAGGCTGCCCAAGGACATCAGCGATGACCACGTGATCCTCATGGACTGCACCGTGTCCACGGGCGCCGCGGCCATGATGGCGGTGCGCGTGCTCCTGGTGAGTGGGCCCTGGGTAGGCGGGGCAGGTTCAGGCAGAGGTGGGATTTACCTGCCCATACACTTTGTAGGACCACGACGTGCCTGAGGACAAGATCTTTCTGCTGTCACTGCTCATGGCAGAGATGGGCGTGCACTCAGTGGCCTATGCGTTTCCACGAGTGAGAATCATCACCACGGCGGTGGACAAGCGGGTCAATGACCTTTTCCGCATCATCCCAGGCATTGGTGAGGCTGCCCAGGCCCTTCAGCCGTGCATGAGGGCAAGGTGGGTGGCCCTGGGAGGCCCCACCACACACTGGCCCGCTTTCTCCAGGGAACTTTGGCGACCGCTACTTTGGGACAGACGCGGTCCCCGATGGCAGTGACGAGGAGGAAGTGGCCTACACGGGTTAGCTGCCCAGTGAGCCATCCCTGTCCCCGCCACCCTCCTTCTGCCTCCTGACCCAGGATTGCCGAATACAAAGATGTTAATTTTTACAATGTTACCAGTATAATTTATTTTATGCATTTTATAAAATAAAGAAAGCTTTAGAAAAATGAAGGTGTGATTGGTTAGTTACAGCACAGGAGTGGCGTCCTGGCTGAGGCTTGCGTTTGTGGAGACTCCCGTGGGGAGGGAGGGAGGGAGGGAGCTGAGGGCCCTGCCTTCTCCCATGTAGGACGAGGCATTCCCAGTCTTGCACTTGTGCCAGATCAAGGAAGGGGTAGAACTGGGCCCTGCAGCTCCCAGCTCTGCTAGATGGGGGCCCTAGAACCCATGGCTTGGTGGCCACCTGGCCTGGACCTAGAGAGGGGACAGGGCCCCCTGGTGCTCTGGGTCTCAAGAGGCAGCCTCTGTGGCTTTTCCCCCGGGGGCCAATGAGCCTGGAGCCGCTGCTGCTAAGGGCCCGCCCCGGGCACCCCTCCAGACCTGGAGGCCCACTCGCCTCCCGTGGTCTCTGCCGTGCCCACACCCGCGAGCCCGGGTTCCCTTAGGTCCTGCCTACCCTGCTCTCCGCGCACGTCCCCCTCGTGCTCCCCGAGGGGAGTCGCCGCCGCAGTTCACTGAGGAAGAGGAGGTGCACGCGCAGCGCCCACACGACGGGCCCCGGAGTGTGGGGAGAAGCCCGGATAACTCCCATCAGCCTCCCGGGGCTCAGCCGTGTAGCTCAGGACTGATGCTGGGGGCTCAGCCGTGGGCCGGACACATCTTGACACAGGACGCGGTCCTCCGGTGACTCTTCGCAGCGGCCACGTCTTCTCAAGCACCAGCGTCTTCCTGCGTGGAAGTCCACGGCCAAGGGCGCGGCGTCCTCGGAGCCTGGGACCTCGATTATGCCGGATGCCGGACCCTGGACAGCGGTCTGCTGACCAAGGGAGGGACACCGCGAGGCCTTGCATTGCAGTGGGGTCTCCCACTGCCCATGCGACCAGGCCAGGTGTGCGCTGGTCCCCACGTGGGCGGCCCATCTGCGGGTGCAGCACTCCCGCCACTCGCCCCGCCCTACCGGCCCCGAGTGGCCACGCCCCTGCCCAGTCCCCGCCCCGCCCCCCACCCTGACCCCGCGCGGCCCGGCTGGCCCTGGGACGTGGTCCCGTGGTCCTTTCGTCGGGCTCCTTGGTCGCTCCTCGGTCTCGGTCGCAAGGAGCGGAGCGCGAGGAAGCAAGGAGCGGAGCGCGAGGAAGGCATAGCCGCGGGGAGGGTGGTCCGACCCCGTCTCCAAGACGGGGTCCTGTTTACCAGGAGAAACAAGGGCGATGACCCTCACTGGCAGGGGTCTCGCTGCCCACCACCCAGTGTCCAGCGTTCGTCTTGCTGTTACTTAACATTGCTCTGTAAGAATCCCATATCGAAAATACTGAACATAGGCCGGGCGCACTGCCTCACACCTGTAATCCCAGCACTTTGGGAGGCCTACACAGGTTCGAGACCAGCCTGGCCAACATGGTGAAACCCTGTCTCTACTAAAAATAAAAAAAAATTAGCTGGGCATGGTGGCGTTTGCCTTTAGTCCCAGCTACTCAGGAGGCTGAGGTACAAGAACGGCTTCAACCCGGGAGTCGGAGGTTGCAGTGAGCCGAGATCGTGCCCCTGCACTCCAGCCTGGGCTATAAAGACTCTGTCTCAAAAACAAAAACAGGCCGGGCGCGGTGGCTCACGTCTGTAATCCCAGCACTTTGGGAGGCCGAGGCGGGCAGATCACGAGGTCAGGAGATCGAGACCATCCTGGCTAACATGGTGAAACCCTGTCTCTACTAAAAATACAAAAAACTAGCAGGGCGAGGTGGCAGGCGCCTGTAATCCCAGCTACTCGGGAGGCTGAGGCAGGAGAATGGCGTGAACCTGGGAGGCAGAGCTTGCAGTGAGCCGAGATCGCGCCACTGCACTCCAGCCGGGGCAACAGAGCAAGACTCCGACTCAAAAACAAAAAAACACAAAACAAAAACAAACTCATAAGGCAGGTGGTGTACTTAACGGCACGGTGTACTACAATTTGTGTAAAACGATATAAACCAATGGTACGTATTATTGAACAAGACAGTGGTAGACACAGTTTAAAGCTACATACGGGGCCGGGCGCGGTGGCTCAAGCCTGTAATCCCAGCACTTTGGGAGGCTGAGACGGGCGGATCACGAGATCAGGAGATCGAGACCATCCTGGCTAACATGGTGAAACCCCGTCTCTACTAAAAAATACAAAAAACTAGCCGGGCGAGGTGGCGAGCGCCTGTAGTCCCAGCTACTCAGGAGGCTGAGGCAGGAGAATGGCGGGAACCCGGGAGGCGGAGCTTGCAGTGAGCTGAGATCCGGTCACTGCACCCCAGCCTGGGCGACAGAGCAACACTCTGTCTCAAAAAAAATAAAAAAATAAAATAAATAAAGCTACATACGGAAGGAGAGGATGGAAATGGGGAGAGAGACACAAAACGGTCTTGGATGCTGTCTTTTTTAAAAAAAATAGAAAATCGGACTCAAATTACTTTATTTTTTGAGACAGTTTCTCGCTCTCCCACCCAGGCTAGAGAGCAGTGGCGTGATCTCAGCTCACTGCAACCTCCACCTCCTGGGTTCAAGTGATTCTCCTGCCTCAGCCTCCTGAGTAGCTGCGATTACAGGCACACGTACCACCATGCCCGGCTAATGATTTTTGTATTTTCAATAGAGACAGGGATCCACCACGTTGGCCAGGATGGTCTCGATCTCCTGACCTTGTGATCCACCCGCCTCGGCCTCCCAAAGTGCTGGGCAATACAGGTGTGAGCCACCATGCCCGGCCCTTACTTCATTTTTCTTAAGGTTGAATAGAGGATTTCAAGATGTTACATTCTTCCGAGTTTTTGCTTGTTAGTTTGTTGAGACAGGGTCTCCCTCTGTCACCCAGGCTGGAGTCTGGGGTGGGACCACAGCTCACCGTAGCCTGGACTTCCTGGGCTCAAGTGATCATCCCTCCTGGGGAGCTAGCGCCTCAGACACAGCGACGCCAGTAATTTCAAACTCTTTAAAGTCTTTTTTGTACAGACACAATCTCGCTGTTGTTGCCCAGGTTAGTCTTGAACTCCTGGGCTCAAGCAATCCTCCCACTTTGGCCTCCCAAAGTGCTGGGATTATAGGCATGAGTCACCACGCCCGGCCTCTTTGCTCCAGTCTTGATACTTAGAAAATGGAGGTAAAAACAGAATCAAGAGGAGGGGGCATTTGTCCACATGTGGACCAGGCAGGAGGCAAGTTCCAGCCACAAGGGGTGTGGGGGCTCCTAAGATCGGCTGCTGCTTCTCCAGAACTGGGGATCTGCTCTCGAAAACCAGGGATCTGCGGGACCAGGGAATAAGACACACGTGGGGTCTGCAGTGAAAACATTTATTTTACAACAGTAATCTTTATTTTAGGTCAACATTCAGACATACAAGACGGAGATCACCATGCGGAACCAGCCTGGCCCTCAGATGTGTGTGCTCGAGCCAGGATCAGCCGGACTCTGACAGCGCCTGCACCCCAACACGGTCGGACTCCAGGACGCCAGTGAAAAAACCAGTGCATGGACAAGCAGCTTCCATGCGTTTGCGTTTGATTTTTAAAAACAAGACATATTTCAGTGTTAACTTCCCCCCCTCACCTGGTTTGAAACATTTTCCCCATTTTCCAGAGAAACAATATCTACCAAAAGGTGCCGCCTGCAGGACCCGGCCCAGCCCCTTCTGGAGGTGCTGCTCTGTATCCTCCTCTGGGGCGGACCTGGGGCCAGAACGGGGCCCCTCCCCAGGCTGCCCTTCAGATGCAGCTTTGCCACTGATTGTATGTGTTGCTTAGAAAATCGGCTTTAATGTTTTAAGGGAGGGAAGGGTTTCCAGTCACCTCCTAGATTTCACACCGGGACACACACCTGGGTCAGGTGGGCGTGACACGGAGCCCCCAGGATGGGCACCCAACCCTGCAGAGCAGAGGCCAACACCGGTGGGGGCCGTGGCAGTGCCCTGGGCACACATCCTCTGCACACAGTGGGCTCAGCGCTTCCTTCTGTGCACCTGCCAGGAAAGCCTCTTGCAGGTCCCTGCCCGACTCCCAAGAAACCAAAGGCCGTTTCAGAGCCACCTTAAATTGTACTTGTGGCTTCACCACGGGACAGCAGCACAAATGACACGCCTGCTGTGTGATATATACATATACACATATGTACACACACGGACACACCACAGCCCACACTCACAGCATGTGACGACGCGAACCGTTGCTGGTAAGGACAGTAAATACGTAGCTTTTGCCAATTTCACAGGAGGATGATTTACAACCAAAATAACAGACACAGGCCCGTCCTGCCCCACACGGGTTCACAGCTCCGAATACTGGGAAAGGGTGAGGTCAGTCACTTCGTGTCCCCCACGAGATGTCCCCACAGTAGGATGCACTGAGCCAGAGCTAAGGGAGGGTGGACAAGCCCCACGTCGAACTCTGCCCGCAGCACCTGGACCCTCCAGAGGCAGCCTGCGTGCTGGTGCCCCCACAGCACAAGGCCCACCCCGAACAGACGCCCTGGGCTCAGCAGGCAACGGGGGCCACTGGCGACACGCAGCACCTGGGAGCAGCCTCGACGGCACGAGGCTCCAGGGCCTTTCCCGGACGGCAGCGCCGACCTGAAGATGAAGCTTTTCCTGCTGGGCACATGCGCACACCAGGTCCTTTTTCTAACAGGTCCCCACTGGGTGCTGCTGCACGAACTGAACACAGAGAGCTAGGAAAGTTCACAAACACTGAGCAGTAATATCTAAAGCAGTTTAAAAATAAAGCCAAAAGGAAGACAAAAAAAATCCCACGTCACTGAGTGGAGACAATCTACACAGCAGCTGCCGTGAAGGGCCCTCGGGCTGCACCCATGCCTCCTGCAGGTCAGAAGCAGTCGGTGCTGCCTGGACCCCCTTGTGAACTGGACAGGCCTCGAAGCACAGCCCCAGCAGGCCCCCGGCAGCACCCAGCAGCGGCTCCAACGGGACATTCTGTGCTCACGGCCACACACGTTCACAGCACCGTCTGCAGCCTCAGAGTGAGCGGTCGGGGATCCCGTCACTGCCACCGGAAGGCAGGGATGCTGGGGGCGTCCTGATCTGTTAGCATGTGGACAGGGAGATGCGTAAGCTGTCCCTGGGGACTCACCACCTCTTTTAATGGGGAACAGTCCACTCAATAAAAAGAGAAATAAAACCTGGAAGGATCTTCTTCCTTGAGTTAAGACAAGGCCTTAAAACCAACAGGGCAGAGCTGCTGACAAGGGTTCTGCTTCCAGGTCAGGCAGTGGGAGGAGCTCCAGGCCCCAGTGTCTGGGCTTCCTGGGGGTCTTAGAATCACAGTCACCACCGTGAGAATGGCCACGGCCATGAGTTACTTAGGTTTTACAAATTCTGCAGGGGACCAGGTTCCACAAACCTCCAGACCTGCTGCTCCTTCCCCGCCTACCCCACCTTCTGCAGGGAGCTGCACGGTTCTAAAAAATGGTCCACTGGACTCTGTAACTGAAAAGCCATCGGGCAAGGGGCCCACTCTGATGAGTATCCAAGGACCTTGGAGTGTTCCAGCCACAGAGCTGTGTGCAGGCCCAACAGAGAGCCTGGCGGGCTGAGCCAGGGCCCCCAGTGGCTGGCTCTCTACCTTAGGTCCAAGCTTAGAACCTGGCTCTTGGCCAGTCTGCAGAAAAATCACTCATGTCCTAAGCTACATCTACAAAAATTGCAAAGGCTGAGTGTCGCCGGCATCTCAGGCTGAACTTGCTGCTGTGCTGAGTGGCACAGAGGCACCCCACTGTCTCGCCGCCTCACGTTTCAGGACGGGCCAATGAATTCTTACTCTTTTAGGAGAGGTCTGATTTTGACAAATTATTTCTAATTTAACATCACAGTGCATATCTCTCCTCTCGTCAAAGGTCTTCATGATCATTTTAGTGAGAAAAACAAAGAAAGGTGGGACGGACACAACTGCCCCAGGATCTGGTGCTCACGGCCGCCGGCTCACGGTCCATGTGGACCTAGAGGAGGGGTCAGCTGGGGGCCTCACCAGCACCCCGTTCCTAAGCACGTCCAGATGTGTCCTCACAACCATGTCCCTTCTGGCCACCTCCTGGTCCACCTGAACCTACCCCTCTACACAGCCTTGGGTGGCCGCTGAGGGCAATGAGCGAGCTGGGGCCACGGGTCAGCAGGCAGGCGGGGAAAGGATGCTCATCGGCTTGGTCCGAGCCAGAGCCACCAGGGACGTTCTGCAGAAACCAGGCCCACTGGAGTCTGCAGCATGCGGCCAAAGGCAGGCCCAGCACATCCCATGAGCCATGGCGCGGGGGCAGCTCTGAGCCCTCGGCCAGCACAGGCACATCAGAACAGTTTCCCCTCGCTCCCCTACCCAGGGCACCACCACCAAGGTCTAGGACACACACGAGACTGACTTCCAACGGTCCGCACGTGGATTCCGACATGTGGATACTGGTGGTCTGGCCTCCCAGGGACCCCCAATGGTCCACAGGTGGATTCCGTGGTCTGGCCTCCCACAGACCCAACCCTTCTGAGCCAGAGGGTCCCTCTGGTCCAGTCCTTCCTCCAGGGACCTAATGAATCTGGCCCTGCCTGAATCATCGATGACGGGGCAAAGGCGAGTGGGGCAGACGGGAGCTCTGGCAAACACACGAGGAGGGGTCTTGGGAGAGCCCCCGTACCCAGCAACCGGGTGCTCACATATGCACAATCTACTCTCTGAGGCTCATCGGGCTGGTCCTACTCTCTGTGGTTCTAAAGGTCCAAAAAGGGCTACGGAAAGGACAGGTGGTCTGGAAGGAATGTGGAGAATGACCCCAAGACGGGAGGGGGGAGACTGGCCCCATCAATCCAGCTCAGAGCCCGGGAAAAGTGCAGGAACACAGACAGACAACCCCAACACGGGCGAAAGACACACCTCCGAGGACCGGAACCGCAGCGTCCACACGACCAGGAGACCAGGCCAGAAACACTGTGCGGAGGACACGGGGTCAACCTCGGAAGGAGCCTCCTATGCTTTCCACACCAAATTCTCCTACAGGAGAAACCCTGCCACGAGGCCCCGGAAACCACAGAGCCCCAAGCCAACTGTGCCCAGCACAGACACCAAGGAATGACGGTGACGCCAGTGACGCCGGTGATGCGGCCTCGCCCCTTTGCTGGCAGGTGAGATCAGTCCTACTGCAGCCTCAAGACTGGGAGCACAGCAGGTGGACCAGACCCCGAGGCTAACGCGGTAACACAGCTCTGCCAGGAAGCACCTGCCTCCGGCCCCTCCAGCACAGGGAAGAAAGGGGCAGCCCCCCTTCTCCTCGCCCACCTGGCTGGCTGCAGTCACCCCTCACCGGACCGGCCTGACCGACAGCCCTGAGGCAGCTCCACTGTGCGGTCAACGCGGTCGTGCCGCGGAACGTCCACAACACAGACACGGAACACAACCCCGTACATGCTATTACAAAAGGAAAAGAACAGAAGACCGTAGCTACACTGCTTTCAATACTGCATGCTACGCGCTTCGTGGGTCAAGGGTTGGCGCTGGGTGGGCGTGGAGGCAGGAGGGGCCCGGCGAGGCCGCCTTCCCATCTGTGTGACTACAGTTCATGACTCTAAGGTGGGCGTGGCCGGCGCTGGCTCCTCCTCTGACCTCAGCTTCTCCTGGATTTAGTTGAACCCGTCGGTGTGGTAGCTGGGGTGGGAGTCGGCTGTGAGCTGGGTGGTCTCAGTGGCAGATGCCGGCTGTATGACGATCGGCGTGTCTGTGGCCTCTGAAAAGCAAGCACACAGGGCACTGCACGGGGGCCGCAGCCTGGTGTGCGCCCACCAACGCTGGTCCTGTGGAGCGACTTTCGGGCACCTGGACAAACTCTCCACGGGGCGAGGCTACTCGCTGACCTCCACCCGCACGGCTTTCCTCCGTCGCCTTGGGTCACCACCAGCCCTCGGCCCTCAGCCCCGCCCCAACTGCCTGCCGCCCTGCCCCGCCTCGCAGTCGTGGGATCTACGGCTACCGCAGGTCACGGTGGGGACAGCTCTATGCGCCTGCTTTACCTCAGGGTCCACGTTCACACCTCAACAGTCCCAGCTGCCACCACAAACACTCGCGGCACAGTGTCAGTGCCCTCCTGTTTGACAAGACAGGTTGACACCATTCAGGGCCCGTTCTGGCTCTGCCCCACACACACACACACACAGAGGCCCTGGGGCGGGCACTCACCCCTCTCGTCAGACTGCAGCTGGGCCTCCAGATCCTCAGGGGACACGTAGAACTCCGTCTCCTCGCCCTCAGGAGCCTTGGGCTTACACTTCCCGCAGCAGCAGTTGAAGCAGCAGCACAGACAGCAGCAGCAGTAGCAGCACGTGAGGAGGCCACAGAAGACAAACAGGGCCTGGGGGGAGAAGGTGGCGTCACAAGGCCTCCGAGGCCCCTGGAGAAGGCGGGGCAGGGCTCCCAAATGCCCTCAGCAGAAGGCAGGGGGTCCGTTCCAGGTGGGGACACTGCCTTCCAGACAGGAAGCAGAAGGAAATAACTGACAAAGGGAGGGGGAGAGACAGAAAGAAACCCGCTGCTTAAAGAAAAGCAGCCTCCAGGCCGGGCGCGGTGGCTCACGCCTGTAATCGCAGCACTTTGGGAGGCCGAGGCGGGCAGATCAGTAGGTCAGGAGATCAAGACCACGGTGAAACCCCGTCTCTACTAAAAAATACAAAAAATTAGCCGAGTGTGGTGGTGGACACCTGTAGTCCCAGCTACTCGGGAGGCTGAGGCAGGAGAATGGCGTGAACCCGGGAGGCAGAGTTTGCAGTGAGCGGAGATCGCACCATTGCACTCCAGCCTGGGAGACAGAGCAAGACTCCGTCTCAAAAAACAAAAAAACAGCCTCCAGGTCGGGGACTGGAGGCGGTGGTTCACGCCTCCATGAATCCAGCAGTTCAAAGTTAAAGTAACCTAGGATCTCACCACAGCACTCCAGTCCGGGCAACGGAGCGAGACTAACATTAACTAAAGTACTTTATAAGGATGCTAGTGAGGAGGCCGACTAGTCAGAACCAAATACAGGCTTCTCACGAAGGCCACCTGGCAATTCAAACCCTCTGGCCTTATATGCGACACTAGGAACAAACGGAGGGAAGGAAGAAACATGAATAGAACACTGAGGCTCATTTCCTCCTCTACCTCGGGAAGAACTGGGAGCCATTTACAGAAAAAAACCTGGCGGCTCCGCAGGGCTCTTCCCCGGGACAATCTGGACGCTCTGGCTCGTTCCAGGCAGGACACCAAGCCAGGGACAGAGTTTCGCCCATCACACAGGTGAGGAGAAAGGCTCCATGTGCCCAGAAATAGCGTTGCTGGCATCAACGCACTGGCTCTTCAGTGCCGGGAACCCTGCAGGCATGGAGTGACCCAGGTGCCCGCACGGCGGCAGCTTGCCCTCACCTTGGCCCACCAGCTGGACAGCACGAAGTAGGTGTTCACGTTCTCTTCCCCAAACTGCTCGGCCACGTAGAGCCCCAGCGAGCCGTACTTGTCGTAGATGTTCCTTTTTGTGGCGTCCGTCAGGATGGCGTGCGCGTTGTTGATCTCCTTAAACTTGTCTGCAGCCTCCGGGTTGTCAGGGTTCTTGTCGGGGTGATATTTCAAGGCAAGTTTCCTGCAACCCAAAACCATGTCCTGGCTCTACCCTGGCCTTTGTCCCACCGGCACCACTGCTGGGTGCAGCGCAAGGCAGGTCCGCCCAGGCCGCCTCACTGTCCAGCTCTCCAGGGCGGCAGCGCAAGGCAGGTCCGCCCAGGCCGCCTCACTGTCCAGCTCTCCAGGGCGGCAGCGCAAGGCAGGTCCGCCCAGGCCGCCTCACTGTCCAGCTCTCCAGGGCGGCAGCGCAAGGCAGGTCCGCCCAGGTCGCCTCACTGTCCAGCTCTCCAGGGCGGCAGGGGCCAGGGACAAAAGCAAGCTCTGCGGTTGCTTCAGGTAAACCTCCTCATCCTGATCCAGCCTCAGAGAGAGTCCGAAGGGCAGTGAGTGCCAGGGCACATCTAAGTTCAGCAGCACCAAGGCCAGCCCCGGGGTCCCAGCCGCTAACTGCACACGTGCCAAGTGAATGGTAAGCATGGCGGGGCGTAATGATGGCAGTTTAACATGTTTTATGAACCACACAACGCTAGTACACAAGAGGAGGACTATCTGAATTGTCTGGATTAGTGGTGGTGTCTCTTACAGGTTACTCAATGAGATTCTACCTAAGAGCGCAGTTCTTCAAGTTCAATCAGAAGAGGCCACAACACAGTGAGGGCTGTCATCACTGTGCTACAGCAAGGAGACCACGGGACCATCCAACGCTCTGCGGCTCCTGTGAGGCCTCGAACAGGTTCAGACCCTGATTCCCCAGGGAACTGTGGACAGTGTGTAAGCTTCTACTAAGTGCTATTTTTTGTGGGCAAGAGAACATGAATACGGCCAGGCGCGGTGGCTCAAGCCTGTAATCCCAGTACTTTGGGAGGCCGAGACGGGCGGATCACGAGGTCAGGAGATCGAGACCATCCTGGCTAACACGGTGAAACCCCGTCTCTACTAAAAAATACAAAAAAACTAGCCGGGCGAGGTGGCGGCCGCCTGTAGTCCCAGCTACTCGGGAGGCTGAGGCAGGAGAATGGCGTGAACCCGGGAGGCGGAGCTTGCAGTGAGCTGAGATCGCGCCACTGCACTTCAGCCTGGGTGACAGAGCGAGACTCCGTCTCAAAAAAAAAAAAAAAAAAAAAAAGAGAACATGAATACAATAATTTTAAGCTATAAGGAGCACATTACACATACAAAAGTGTTATGTAGCTGTGACCAGTTCAACGCTGAGTCGGCCAGGATAAAGTATGTGCAATGGTTCTTGGTAAAATGCAGACTAAACCACACGGGGCATGTGTCTTCCTGGGGGGAAGTGGGGGCCCACCCTTGTCCACTTACCGATAGGACTTTTTAATGTCATCTGAGGTTGCGTTCTTGTCCAGCCCAAGGACGTGGTACAATGACTCCCCAGAGGTCGACAGTGAGCGCTGTCTCTGGTCTGCCATGTTAGGCTAATCTAGAAGAAAAAATAAAGTATCACAAAGCATAGATGAAAGTACCAAGGGCAGAGCTGATGGACTTTATTCCATAAGACCATTCAAAGCAAAAGAATCCGAGGCTGCCTTGTGGAGTTTACAACGTGCACAGACAGACGCCACGGCACGGAGACGTGGGAGAGCGCAGTCCCCAGGGGGCACAAGGTTTCTACACTGCATGCAAAGTGCTGCAACACGGCCACCCCAAGAGATTCCGAAAAATTGGAGGCTATACTGTGGCCACCCCAAGAGATCTCGAAGAATTGGGGGCTATACTGTGGCCACCCCAAGAGATCCCGAAGAATTGGGGGCTATACTGTGGCCACCCCAAGAGATCCCGAACGAATTGGGGGCTATACTGTGGCCACCCCAAGAGATCCCGAAGAATTGGGGGCTATACTGTGGCCACCCCAAGAGATCCCGAAGAATTGGGGGCTATACAGTGGGCCAGCGCAGCGGCTCACAGCTGTCATCCCAGCATTTTGGGAGGCTGAGGCGAGAGGACCACTTGAGCCCAGGAGTTTGAGGCTGCAGAGAGCTATGATCACACCCCTGCACTCCAGCCCATGGACAGAGTGAGATCCTGCTCCTTAAAAAATAAATTAATTAAATAAATTAATTAAAATAAACACGCATATTGTAATCCTTACAGCAACCTCTGCATAAAAAATTAAAGAGGTATCAGCTAAAAGATTAAAAGAAAAATGAAAAAGTAACTCAACATAGGAAACAAATAGAAAATTAGTTGGAAGATGTAAATCCAAACATACCAACAATTAGACTCAATGTTAGTAGACAAAAAACTCCAATTAAAGAAAGGGACTGCCTGAATGGATAAAAATGCAGAACCAACTCTAATTTTAATACTTTCTCAGAAATCAACACAACAGACAAAAAAAAGAATCAGGAAAAACATTGATGTTCTGAACAACACTATCAACCAGCATGACCTGATCCTCACAGAACGCCCCATGTCTAGAGAATACAGAGTTTCTTTTTTTTTTTGAGACAGTATTGCTCGTTGCCCAGGCTGGAATGCAACGCTGAGATCTCAGCTCACTGCAACCTCCACCTCCCCGGTTCAAGCAATTCTCCAGGCTCAGCCTCATGAGTAGCTGGGATTACAGGCACGCGCCACCACGCCCGGCTAATTTTTGTATTTTTAGTAGAGATGGGGTTTCTCCATGTTGGTCAGGCTGGTCTTGAACTCCCGACCTCAGGTGATCCGCCCGCCTCGGCCTCCCACAGTGCTGGGGTTACAGGCATAAGCCACTGCGCCTGGCGAGAATACACAGTTTTTAACTAATCAACCACCATGACGTGACAGTCACAGAACACCCAACATCTAGAGCACACACTTTGTTTTTAACTGAACGCTGTATACTGACCAAGACAAGCCACATATTAGGGCTTCGAACTGGTTTCAATAAATGTAAATGGAATGCGGTCGTACACAGCACAACCCCTGACTTAATAGCTACAAACTGGAAACCCAGGAGACAGATACATCATAAAACCTCAAGTACTCTTGATATTCAACAACACACCTCCAGCTAACATGTAGCTCAAAGAAATCACAGGAGAAATTAGCAAATATTTTGGATTGAATAATAAATACAATGCACGTGACAGTTCATTTTATGTCTCCTTGGCTGCATCGTGGGGTACCCAGATCAAACACGACTTCGGGGCGTGTCTGGGAGGGTGCTTCTGGGTAAGAGCAGCACCCGAGCTGGGGACTCAACGAAGCCAACTGCCCTGCCCCGTGCAGGTAGGTCTCGCCCCAGTCCACGGGGGTCCTGAACAGAAAGGGGTGGAAGGAGGAGTTGGCCTGTGTTCCTTCTCGCCTGCCAGCCTGAGCTGGGCCATGGTCTCCTGTCCTTGGACTGTATTATCCCACGGCTTTCCTCCATCTTCAAATGGCAGAGCATGAGACTTTGTCTCCATAATCATGTGGGCCAATTCCTCATATTAAATCTCCTTTAGAAAGAGACACAGATAACGGCAACGTCCCTCTGCAGAATGCTGACTAGCGCAACACGTTAACCAAGGCCTAAGGCTCCACCTCAGGAAACTACAAAGTAACAGGATAAACCCAACATAAATGGCAGGAAGGAAATCACTACAAAGTAACAAGATACACCCAACAAAAATGGCTGGAAGGAAAATCATAAGGAACAGAAATCAAGGAAAACAGATAATTTTCACAAGGCCAAGAGAGTTGGTTCTTTGAGCAACACGAGGAAAGAAGGTTCATCACTACAGATCCTAGAGGCACGAAAAGGATAAAATTCAAACTTCATGCCAAGAAATTAGAAAAATTAGATGAAATGGACAAATACCTTGAAAACTACAATTAACAAGACTGATATGAAATGAAGTAGAAAATCTGAATAGCCCTGCATCTGTTAATAAAGTTAGATTTGTAATAAAAAACCTCCAGAGGGCCGGGCGCGGTGGCTCACGCCTGTAATCCCAGCACTTGGGGAGGCCGAGACAGGTGGATCACGAGGTCAGGAGATCGAGAGCATCCTGGCTAACACGGTGAAACCCCATCTCTACTAAAAATACAAAAAAACTAGCCGGGCGTGGTGGCGGCGCCTGTGGTCCCAGCTACTTGGGAGGCTGAAGCAGGAGAATGGCGTGAACCTGGGAGGCAGAGCCTGCAGTGAGCCGAGATCGTGCCACTGCACTCCAGCCTGGGCGACAGAGCGAGACTCCGTCTCAAAAAAAAAAAAAAAAAACCCAGAAAATTCCAGACCCAGATTTTTTTTTTACCAAATACTTAAGAAATGACATCAATGTGGGGTTTTTTGAGACAGTCTCGCAGTCTTGCCTTGTGGCCCAGGCTGTAGTGCAGTGGCGCGGTCTCGGGGACACTGGCAGGAAGCAGCTGAATGCCCAGGCAGATGGGGTAGGTCCCCGGTGAAACCCACCTCCAAGCCAAAGACAGTTTAAAGCCTGACAGCTGAGCCACCAGTGAAATTCTCAGGCCTTCCTGTTTGCCACACTTTCCTCTGATTAAACCCCACTCTTCACCTATTTTATACATACCTACCCTTTCCTAATTTTTTTCTTTTTTGAGGTGGAATCTCGCTCTGTTGCCCAGGCTGGAGCACAGAGGCGTGACCTCAGCTCACTGCAATCTCCGCCTCCCAGGTTCAAGCGATTCTTCTGCCTCAGCCTCCCGAGTCACTGCGACTACGGGCACGCGAACCACGCCCAGATAATTTTTGTATTTTTAGTAGAGATGGGGTGACCTTGTGATCCGTCCGCCTCGGCCTCCCAAAGTGCTGGGATTACAGGCGTGAACCACAGCGCCTGGCCTCTAACTGGTTTTCTACACTGTCATGCCCACTTTGGAATGGTGTCTTTGCTTTAACCTTTTTGGCATACTCACAAAGCCATCAGCAAGCACTGCAAGCACTTTGCATCCTGAGTCCGTAAAAGGCCCCAGACCCAGCCACACAGGCGGATTTTCCTGCCTTCGGGTAGGGGAACAGCCCCTGCATCCCCTGGTCCAACGAAAGTTGTTTCACTGCTCAATAAACTTCTTCTCCGCCCTCCTCATCCTTCAATGTCCAGTGTATCCTTGATCTTGGGTGTGGCACACAAGCTTGGGAACCACCGAACACAGGTGAGTTGGGGCACGCCAGCATGGCCAAGCAGCACCCAGGTGGGATGGGTCCCCAGTTTGCTAAGTGACTGAGAAGAAAAATCCTAAGTCATCAACTCACTGTAACCTCCGCCTCCCAGGTTCAAGTGATTCTCCTGCCTCAGCCTCCCGAGTATCTGGGATTACAGGCACGCGCCACCACGGGTGGCAAATCTTGTATTTTTAGTAGAGATGGGGTTTCCCCACGTTGGTCAGGCTGATCTTGAACTCCTGACCTCAGGTGATCCACTCACCTCAGCCTCCCAAACTACTGGGATTACAGGGATAAGCCACCGCGTCCAGCTAAAACCTGGATTTTTAGAAAGGAATGAAGACCACTGGAAATGGTAAATACCTAGGAAAAAGACCATTTTTTGCTTTTTTGTTTGGAGACAGGGTCTTGCTCTGTCACCCAGGCTGAACGCAGTGGTGTGATAAGAGATCACAGCAGCCTCAACCTCTCAGACTCAAGTGATCCTCCCAACTCAGCCTCCTGAGTAGGTGGGACGACAGGCGTGAGCCACCATGCCAGCTAAGCTTTTAGAAATTTTTTGCAGAGGCCGGGCGCGGTGGCTCAAGCCTGTAATCCCAGCACTTTGGGAGGCCGAGGCGGGTGGATCACGAGGTCAGGAGATCGAGACTATCCTGGCTAACACGGTGAAACCCCGTCTCTACTAAAAATACAAAAAACTAGCCGGGCGTGGTGACGGGCGCCTGTAGTCTCAGCTACTTGGGAGGCTGAGGCGGGAGAATGGCGTGAACCCGGGAGGCGGAGCTTGCAGTGAGCCGAGATCACGCCACTGCACTCCAGCCTGGGAGCACAGCGAGACTCCGTTTCAAAAAAAAAAAAAAAAAGAAATTTTTTGCAGAGACGGGGTCTTACTACGTTGCTCAGGCTGATCTTGAATTCCTTGGCTCAAGCGATCCTCCGGCCTTGGGTCGTGGTCACCAAAGCGCTGAGATCACAGAAGCCAATCCTTTCTGATGTCTATTTTCTTTTCTTTTTTTAGTAGAGTCTCACTCTGTCAGCCAGGCTGGATGGAGTGCAATGTGGTGCAATCTTGGCTCAATGCACCCTCCGCCACCCAGGTTCAAGCGATTCTCCTGCCTCAACCTCTCGGGTAGCTGGGATCACAGGCGTGAACCACCACACCCGGCTAATTGTTTTCTATTTTTAGTACAGATGGGGTTTTCACCATGTTGGCCAAGATAGTCTTGAACTCCTGACCTCAGGTGATCCGCCCGCCTCGGTCTCTCGAAGTGCTGGGATTACAGACATGAGCCGCCAAGCCTAGACTGTCAATTCTCTTGGGGCAATGAGTCTGG